AATTTTGTCAAGGGCTGGGAAGGTGGCTCAGTGGTAGAGCGATTGCCTTACATGCATGAGGCCCTGGGTTCGATTCCTCAGCACCACATAAGCAAAAAGAAAAAAGCCAGAAGTGGCACTATGGCTCAAGTGGTAGAGCGCTGGCCTTGAGCTGAAGAGCTGAAGGACAGCGCCCAGGCCCAGGGTTCAGGCCCCACGACCGGACCCCCAAAAAAACAAAAAACAAAAAATAAACAAACAAACAAAAATACAATTTTGTCAAAACCCAAAGAATGTGCAACACCAAGAATAAATCAGTGGAGGTTCACTGATTGTAACAAATTGGGAGCTGGGGGTAAGGGATATTTAAGACACTGCTTATATATTTCATTCAATGTTGCAGTGAGCTTAACACGGTTCAAAAAAAGTCTGGGACTGGGAAGGTAGCTTAGGGGTAGAGTGCTTGCCTAGCATGCATGAAGCCCTGGGTTCCACTTCTTAGTACCACATACACAGAAAAAGCCAGAAGTGGTGCTGTGGCACAAGTGGTAGAGTGCTAGACTTGAGCAAAAGCAGCTCAGGGACATTGCCCAGGCCCTGAGTTCAAGCCCCAGGACTGGTGCAAAAAAAAAAGTCTATAGGTCAGGCACTGGTGGTTCACACTTGTAATCCTAGCTACTCAGGAGATTGAGATCTGAGGTTCTCAGTTCAAAGCCATCCATGCAGGAAAGTCCGTGAGAATCTCTTCTCCAATGAAGCACCAGAAAACTGGAAGTGGCACTGTGGCTCAAGTGATAGAATGCTCGTCTTGAGCTGAAGAGCTGAGGGACAGCACCTAGTCCCAGAGTTCAAGCTCCACAACTGACAAAAAAAATTGCAGTATAAAAAACAACTCTTGGGCTGGAACTTAGGGATATGTACTTGTGAGCGTTCCCCCAAGTCCACAGGAACACAGTCTAAACAGTTTGGCACTGACTCAAGGCTGGGTCGTGGCATCTGTCATTATCTACAGCCGGAACAAGCTCAGCTTGATCTTTGCAGCCCTGGCATCATAAGTGTTTTCTTTCCCAGGCCGGCCTGTCCTCTCCTCCTCGAACTTGCCTGACCTTCACTTCTTGAGGGTTGATGTGCACACAGCACTTTCTCTGGGACTGGCAGTGCTTAACCACAGGCCTTCTAAGTTCATCACCTGACACAGCCCCTCATTTTGACCAGACCACTTCTGTACCCCAGGATTTGCTATTCCAGTACCCAGGCTAGATTTGTTTTGTGCATGTGCTCATCCTGGGGCTTCAGTTCAGAGCCTGGGCGCCGTCCCTAAGCTTTTGTGCTCCAGCATTATATGCTACCACTTGAGCTACAGTTCCACTTGCAGCTTTTAAAAAAATTACAAATATCAGAAAATTCCAATCTCATAGTTATAGAAGCCAGGAGCTCCAAGCTCAATGTGGCAGCTGCTCAGGGAAAAACCTTCGTGCTGAGTCCTCACATTGACTTTCACCTCTGTATGTGTGTGTGTGTGAGAGAGAGAGAGAGAGGAGAGAGAGAGAGAGTTGTAGGGCTTGAATACTGGGTTTAAGTGCTGTCCTTGAGCTCTTTTGCTCCAAGTGAGTGTTCTACCACTTTGAGCCACAGTGCCACTTCTAGCTTTCTGGTGGTTAACTGGAGATAAGAATCTCACAGACAGCTGGGCGCCAGTGGTTCATGCCTGTAATCCTAGCTACTCTGGAGGCTGAGATCTGAGCATACTGGTTCAAAGCCAGCCCAGGCACAAAAGTCCATGAGATTCTTTTTGTTTGGGTTTTTTTTTAAACTGTATTTTTTTTTTGTCTTTCCTTTTTTGGTACTGGGGATCGAACCCAGGACGTTGCACTTGCTAGGCAAGCACTTTGCCACTGAGCTACATCCCAGCCTGTCCATGAGATTCTTATCTCCAATAAACCACTAGAAAACCAGAAGTGGTACTGTGGCTCAAGTGGTAGAGAGCTAGCCTTGAGCTGAAGAGCTCAGGGACAGCGCCCAGGCCCAGAGTTGAAGCCCAACTGATCAAAAAAAAAAAAAAAAGCCACAGACTTTCCTGTCTGGGCTGGCTTTGAACTGTGGTTTTTAGATCTCAGCTTCCCGAGTAGCTAGGATTATAGGTGTGAGCCACTGGCGCCCAGCCCAAGGCTGATTTTCCCTAGAGTCTCATACTGGGTTAGGAGCAGTTGGTGAGCTTCCTTGGGTCCCTGGGGAAGAGCCATCGCTGTTGTTCAAGGCTATGGGGGAGGACAGCTGGGGAGCCACTGGAGTCCCATGTGAGCTACTGCCCATCTTGTCGATGGCCACGGCTGTGCACACACATAGCACCCCACCACCTGACTTCAGCGAGGACAACATCTGAATGCATTCATTCCACTGGGCCCATCGATTTATTAAGAGGTCATTTAGAAGGTGGGTAGTGGGGACTCTGACAAACCGTGCTGCTGATGCTTCATTAGGGACTTTGATCAGGCCCCGGGACCTTGGTACTGAGGCCAGCAAGCTCCTGTCAAGCGTTGAGGCAGGAGGCAGGCAGGCTTGCAGCCAAGCCACCAGGTTTGGCTCACTGGAAGGAATCCCACTGGAGAAAGGGGTGGCCTGCGGTGCAGTGAATGTGTGTCGACCCGACCTGCTAGGTGGCCGCTGCAAAGAGAGGGAAAAGCACCCAGGATCCTTGGTGCCAGGGATGCCCAGGAATTGGAAGGAGCTGACATTAGGAGTGGAGAATGGGGCTGTCGGCTGACGGCATAGCCAGCTTCAGGAAAAGAAGAAGATGGGCATTTGGGCTCCCCTGCCAAAGTGTCACAGGCCAGCACCACAGCCCCCATCCCTCAAGGTCCCCGCCGCCTCAGAGCTCAGATGTGTTGGGGCTAGAGAGCCTCCTTCTGGGACATGGAGTAAGGCCTCCACTTTACACTGGTGCTGCGCCGACCCCTCGGCCTGGTCCGGGAGCTCAGCTGTGCTAGCTGGCCATGCTCCTTCGCGGGATACAGCCTTCCATCTCCAGCGCCTCTGGCCAGCCCTCGTACTTGTTGGTGTGTTTACTGTTCTTCATGTGCTGTGGGGGTGGGGGAGGAAGTCACCGCCTGGCCCTTTGGGACAGGGGACAGAGGCAGGCTAAGGCCCAGGCTTTCGACCTTTTTTTGCTGTGCTAACCAACTGAAGGCTCTCCAGGCGCTCACCCTCTGCCCCACCCCAGGGCAAAATGGAGATAGCTGAAGTGCACCAGGGGACGGACTATACATTTTGCTTGGCTTGGTGGCCCAGGAGGGTAGGCTCTGCAGAGGGGAGGGAGTATGTGTGTCCCCAGCTGTGGGAAGTAGCAGAGAGACATGGAGGAATTTTCTAGGGCTAGGGGAGCTTGAGCTGCTTTTCTTTTTTTAACTTTCACTAGTACCAGGCTTTGAACTCAGGGCCTTACATTTATTCATCTGGTGTTATACCACTTGACTCATGCCCCTAGTGTGGCTTTTTGCTGGTTATCTTGGCAATGGAGTTTTGTGGACTTTTCTGTCCAGGCTGGCTTTGACCCTTGATACTTCAGGTCTCAGCCTTCGGAGTAGTTAGGATGATAGGCTTGAGCCATTTTTCTTTCTTTCTTTTTTTTTTTTTTTGGTGAGCCATAGCCTTTCAGAAACTATGTGTTGTGGGGAGCAGCGCTTGTAGTCACCATGGCTTTTGCTAGAACCTTCCCAAAGGTTGAGCATTCTTTCAGACGTTTGGGAAGAAAGTTTCTTAGGTGTGAGTTTCACCAGAGTACCAATTTTTTTTTTTTTTGGTCTGGTCGTGGGGCCTGAACTCTGGGCCTGGGCGCTGTCCCTCAGCTCTTCATCTCAAGGCTAAGCGCTCTACCACTTGAGCCACAGCGCCACTTCTGGCTTTTTTCTTTTTGCTTATATGGTGCTGAGGAATGGAACCCAGGGCCTCAGGCATGCAAGGCAAGCGCTCTACCACTGAGCCACCTTCCCAGCCCCCAGTGTACCAATTTTGCCATTAAAAGAGAGACCATTTAAGGTACACGGCCAGGCTGCCAGGGCTGGGAGGTGGAGGTGCCCGTTTGGCTGCTGTACCTGTTCAAAGGGACTCTTGTTCTGCACGCCTTTGGCTCCTACAAACACCCAGCTGTCCCGGAAGGCGAGCTCCTTGGCATTCCTGCTGCCCAGCTCACTAAAAAGCTTCCTGGTCTCTTCATTCATCCTGTCATGCAGAAGGAGGAAAGAGGAGCTGGAAGCTACCACTGTATAGGAGCGCAGTGGAGGCTGGCTTTGGTGATCACTTACTTGGTGGCTGGGTCGTCATAGGATGCCACAAACACCAGGGTGCCTTCATGCAGTGGCCGAATGAACTTCAACAGATCGTTAACATCTGGAGGTGGGGGGAGGGCCTGTGGATGGGAAGCTTCCCGCCCCACCCTGTACCTCCCCCCAGCCACTGCTCCCCCAATGAGAGAGACCCCCGAAGTAGGGCTTGGGCCATGGACACGCATAAAAGACCACCAGGAAAAAAAAGCCACCAGGATGGTACTAGACAAACTGGTAAAGAAACCAGGGCTGTCCTGTCCTGGGACACATCCTCTAAATGGAGGTTGGGGTCTCCTTCCCCTCCCCTCTCCCCCCGCCCCCACTGCTTTATGGGAATCCAGGGAAGTACTTGAGAAGCCTGAATGGGTACAAGCACACAAAGCAGGGCGCCAAAGAGAAAGTCACCAGCTGGAGGCATGGCTACTGCTTACCTCCCGCCCACATGTCGAAAGCCCGGGCCTCGATGAGCTCACCATTGACCCCTGCATCAAGAGGAGAAAGTCCATACCCTGCAGGGCACCCCGACCCCTTCGGTGGATGAAGTCCGATCTGGCAGCATAGGGGACTCACCATTTACCAGGGCGATGTTGAGCCCACGACCCACGTTGTCCTTGACACTGCTCATGAGCCTGGCAGGGGACACAGAGCCCTCAGCTCCTGCAGACCCAGCCTGGACTCCCCGGCCCACTGCCCAGCCCCCATGGACCCCGGGGAGCTCACATCTTATCTTCCAGGCAGATCTTGGGCCCGATCACGTTGGCGGCCCCGCTGACCATGCGAAAGGCCAGGTGCTCCTCGGGACACGGCTGGGGAAGGCCACACTTGTACTTCCTGGCCCGTGGTTCTGAGCAGGGACAGCAAGTGTGACCCATGGGCCTGGCCCTGGGGTCACCTGAGATCTGAGAAGGGGAGGTCAGGGCCAGCCAGGGTAGATTAAGTGAACACAAGCAGGGAAGTGTGGTAGGGCAAGGCTGAGCACATGTCCATGGATACTCTTATCTTGCTGGCAAGGTGACAGGGACCCCAGGGAGGCTTTTCTGCTGTGCTGCTGTGTGTAGGAGAAGAGATAACAGGCTGAGGGCTGGCCTAACAGAACCAGGAGACGTGCAGAAGCGGAGATGGCCAGAGTGGAGGCCCTGTGATATACGGCTTCCAGCCAGGCCACAGCGGAGGAACTGAGCCAGGTGAGAAATGGGGCTCTGCTAGTGCCCCAATTTCCTTGGGCTCACCCTAAAGAAAGAGAGGAGGACAGGAGGAAGATGACTCCACAATGAGATGAACTGGATCCCCACAAAAATATATGCTGGAGTCGCAATCGCAAAACTTCAGAATGTGGCCTTGTTTGGAAATAAGGCTTCTTGTGGACAAATTGGTTAAGATGAGGTCACGCCGGAGTAGGTTGAGTGCTAAAGCAACATGACTGGTGTCCTTATAAGGAAAGAAGAGACAAGGGCGGGGGGGGGGGGGGGAAAAGACAATGGAGGCAGAGATTGTGCAGCCTCAGCCCAGGAGACCTAAGGCTACTAGGTGTGGTCCAGGCAAAGCAGAGTCCTCAACTCTCTCAGAGGGAGAACAGCCCTGCTGGTGCCTCACATTCACATTTCTTGCTTCCAGAATTGTGAGAAAAGAAATTTCTGTCATTAAGGCCTGCTTTGTGATGCTCTGATATAGAAGCTCCAGAAACTGATCATGCTTTTGGCCCTGGGAATTGAGGTGTTTATATAACAAATACTTAAAAATGTAGAAATGAATTTGAAACTGCCTAACAGGAAAAGGCTGTAGACTTGCAAGATGTATGGTAGAAAAAAAAGCCTACAGTGTTCTTAAGAAATCAAGGCCAGGGGCTAGTGGCTCATGCCTTTTAATTCTAGCTACTCAGGAGGCTGAAATCTGAGGATCATGGGTCAAAGGCAGCCCAGGCAGAAATGTCCATGAGACTCAAATCTCCAATAAACTATGCAGAAAAAGCTGGAAGTGATACTATGGCTCAGGTACTAGCCTTGGGCAAAAGAAACTCAGGGTCAGAACCCAGGACTGAGTTCAAGCCCCAGGACAGGCAAAAAGAGAGAGAGAGAGAGAGAGAGTAAAAAGAAATCATTGGTAGAGATATTGATAGTAGCTGGTTATGGTAGCACATGCCTGTAATCTAGTACTCAGAAGAGTATAGCAAGGTTGTTGAGCTTGAGACCAGGCTGCACTACATAGCGAGGCCATTTTTTTTTTTTTTTGTCAGTCATGGGGCCTGAACTCTGGGCCTGGGCGCTGTCCCTCAGCTCTTCAGCTCAAGGCTAGCACTCTACCACTTGAGCCACAGCACTACTTCTAGCTTTTTCTGCTTATGTGGTACTGAGGAATTGAACCTAGAGGGCCTTATGCATGCAAGGCAAGCATTCTACCACTTTGACTCCTTCCCAGCCCTCAAAAAAAATTTTTTTTCAGAGGACAGGGCATGGTGAATAATGCCTATAATACCAGGTAGGCAGAGATGGGAGGATCAGACTTTGAGGGCCAACAGGGGCAAAGTTCAGGAGTCTCTATCTCAATAAACAACCTGGAGTCCCAGGTATGTGTGAGGTACAGATAGAAGGACTGTGGTCTGAGGACAGTTCTACACAGAAGCAAGATCCTATCTGCAAAAGTAAAAGTAAAAGGCCTGGAGGTATGTCTCAAGTGGTTAGAGCACCTGCCTGGCAAGTACAAGGCCCTGAATTTAAACCATGACTAGTAAGCCTGATTATGGTGAGGGCTAGAAAGAAGACAGCAACAGGCAGAATGCTGCTAGGAACAGGAATGCTAAAGGTCCTTAGATGAGGTCTCAGAAATGAGGAAGAGGGGCTGGGAAGGTGGCTCAGTGGTAAAGCACTTGCCTTGCATGCCTGAGGCCCTGGGTTCGATTCCTCAGCACCACATAAGCAAAAAGAAAACAAATGAGGAAGAAAGTAGGCGCCGGTGGCTCATGCCTGTCATCCTAGCTACTCCAGAGGTTACGATCTAAGGATCATGGTTCAAAGCCAGACTGTGCAGAAAAGTCCATGAGGCTCATTGCCAATTAAACCACCAAAAAGCCAAAGGTGGAGCTGTGGCTCAAGTGGTAGAGTGCTAGCCCTGAGCAAAAAAGCCAAGTGGGAGTATGAGGTCCTGAATTCAAATCCTGCGCCTGGCATGCACACAGGCACACGCACACACACACCCCCACACACATTGAATTTGAAGAGATTTCTGAGCCCAACGTTAAAGGCATGGCCTGGCTTCTCGTTGCTGCTATGGTAGGATATGAGAATAGACAGAGAAATTGAGCAAAGAACCCTCAGGATGAAGGGAGCCGAATGTGATGATTTAGAAAATCTCACGCTAATCATAATGCAAAAAATTAGAGTGCTCTCTAGAGAGAACACAGTGGGTGTGGCTGGCTAGAGAGGAAGTATGTGATTTCTGAGTGCATTCCACCCTCTCAGAAGCTTGGACCTGAGATGGGGTTAAACAGGCAGGATCTGAAGAGAACTTTCTTGCCTTGTAGCTTGGGCCTTTATCAAGGAAACAAGAATCCCCCCAAGTCAGGGCTGGGAGCGAGTGGTTCACACTGTAATCCTAGCTACTCAGGAGGCTGAGATCTGAGGATGGTGGTTTGAAGCCAGCCTAGGGAGAAAAGTCTATGAGACTCATCTCCAATTAACTACCAAAAAGTCAAAAGTGGAGCTATGGCTCAAGTGGTAGAGTGGTAGACTTGAGCAAAAAAGCTCAAGGACAGTGCCCACACACACACACACACACACACACACACACACACACACACACACACACAAGAAAAGGAAAAGAAACATGGTCAGCTTGTACTGTAAGGGACAGAGATGAGCTAAAGGAAGCAGGCTGGTTCTGAAGGTAGAATAAGGGAGGTAGAAGCCAGAGAGTGAGAACACCTCTTATGGTAGAGGCTGGGGTCCCCTCAGTGGGCCCAGAGAGGAGAATCAGGCCACAAAGAATTATTCTCTGAAACTGAAAGGAGTTGTCACTGATGGGTTTTGAACTTGTTCGTGACTTTCTTGTTTTCTGTCCTCCCTTTTTGTGTGTGCTAGTACTGAGATTTGAACTCAGGACATGTCTTGCTTAATTGTTTTTTTTTGTCGGTCTTGGGGCTTGAACTCTGGGTCTAGGCGCTGTCCCTGCACTCTTCAGCTCAAGGTCAGCACTCTACCTCTTGAGCCACAGCGCCACTTCTGGTTTTCTAGTGGTTTATTGGAGATCAGAGTCTCATGGATTTTTCTGCCCAGGAGGGTTTTGAACCATGATCCTCAGATCTCAGCCTCCTGAAGATTACAAGCGTGAGCCACCAGCACCCAGCTTGCTTAAGTTTTTTATTCAAGGCTATCATTATATCATTTGAGCCATAGTTCCACTTCCAGATTTTTGGCGGTTAGTTAAGAGTCTCGTAAACTTTCTTGCCAGGCTGGGAAGGTGGCTCAGTGGTAGAGTGCTTGTCTAGCATGCATGAGGCCCTGGGTTCAGTTCCTCAGTACCACATAAACAGAAAAATCCAGAAGTGATGCTGTGACTCAAGTGGTAGAGTGCTAGCCTTAAGCTAAAGAAGCTCAAGGACATTGCCCCGGGCCTTGAGTTCAAACCCTAAGATTGACAAAACAAACAAACAAAAAGCCATAAGCTTTTCTACTAGGGCAGGGGCTTTGAACTATAATCCTCAGATCTCAGTCTCCTGAGAAGTTGAGATTACCAGCGTGAGTCACTGGCTCCTGGCTCTATTTTCCTCCCTTTTGGAATAGGAATGTTGACCCTTTACCTGTCTCCTCACTGCATTCTGACAACAGGTAACTCATTTACAAGGCTCACAGCCAAGCAAGCTAAGATGCCTAGTATAGGGAAGTATGGGTGAAGAACAGAAATCCTGAGGGACTGCAGGCCGGCAGGTGCCACAAAGGCAGCATGAGGGGTGGGCACAGAGGAGAGGCAGGGAAGTGACCCGAGCTTACCTGCAGTCACTGAGTTCTCTGGGCCTGTGGACACAGAGTTGTTTGTGTTAGTGTGGATGCCCCATGGAGCCTGCAACACGGCAGTCAGGTTCTGGGGTCAAGGAGCTAAGGAAGAGTGTCTCTCTGCTTGTCTATCTGGAGTTTAGATCCAAACTGCTTGCTCAAGGAAAGGGGTGCATTGCATTCATAACCATGACCTCCATGACCCATTGCCTGCCACAGGGGATAGAGTCCCCTCCCCATCCCAGAGCCCAGCAGCAAGCTCACAGGGCACTGTTTCCAGCATTCAGAGGGGGCCCCACCTCTTTCTCGGACCCTACTGACTTCCATCTAGTAGAGGAGTGAAATTAGGGATTGTTGCTTCCCAGCCAGAGCAGCTGGTTGGTAGGAGATGGCTACAGTTGGTGCCAGGAAATAGGTTAAGGGAAGCCAGAGGTAGCCTGCCATAGGAAGGCTCTGGAAAACCAAGCCACCCCCACGCCACTGTGGGTAGCAGTCCCACAGTCAACACAGGAACTCTGCAGCCAGGCAGCAGAGAGCCCCACACTCACTGGTGAAGAGTTGCTGGATGCGAGGGAAGCCACCACCAGGCCCACCCAGGAGAATGGCGACTACGATCCAGGTGAGCCCCACAGTGATGACGAGGGCCACGATGCGGAGTGGGCCTGTAGGCAGGACAGACACAGGGCAGGCCCACCTCAGATGCCTGTCATCAAACTCAAGAATGATCCCATGGTCTCTCAGACCACATAGCCCCTTCCACTCGGGAAGAACTGATGGGAGGATGGGCTGGTGGGGACCCATCGCCACTCAGCAGGCCCGACGATAGTCCCTTGGCAGGTAGAGGGAGGAAACTGAGTTCTAACCCCAAGGCTGCCATTTTGTTCTCCCTGGAAGGTTTCCAGGGGATTTGTATAACCCACTACTCCACAAGCACATCCCTAGAACTCCTCTCACAACCGGCAATATATTGCGTGTCATCTATTTGCACCTCCTCTCCTCTTGTTCAGAAAGTTTGAACCTGACTTCCCCTCCCTTGTCAGATTTCTTGTAATGAGGACCCTTCTCTCTCTCTCTCCCTCCATTCCTCACGGTAGCTATAATGTCATGCCTACAGTGGCCTGTTGGCTCTCAGATTCCTTGACCTCAGTCAAGGCTCTCAGTCTGGCTTTCCATGCTTGCCTGATGGAAACATTTCACCTCTGAGTAGCCTGCCTTCTCCTTGGCCACATGGTCTTCCTCTACCCGCCTGCCTTCTCTTTGGCCACATGATCTTCTTCTACCCGCCCCCTCCCCCTTTGTTTGCCAGTCCTGGAGTTTGAACTCAGGGACTGCACTGTCCTTGAGCTTCTTTTGCTCAAGACTAGCGCTGTACCACTTGAGCCACAGTGCCACTTCCAGCTTTTTGTGTTTATGTGGTACTGAGGAATGGAACCCAGGGCTTCATGCATGTTAGGTAAGCACTCTACCACTGAGCCACATTCCCAGTCCTACCTTCCCCTTTAAAGCTGGACCGTTCTGGGCTTGTATTCCAGGGTGCCTTCTTATCTCTAGAGTCTGTTTATAGGTAAAATTTCATCTATTCCAGATCTTCTGTGTGTGTGCTAGTCCTGGGGCTTGAACTCAGGGTATGAGCACGGTTCCTTAGCATTTTTACTGCTCTACTACTTGAGCCACCTGTCCACTTCTGTGTACTCCAGATCTTAAACTAAGCAGCACATAGCAATAATACCTTAGTTTCTAGCTGCAGCCAATCACCCCCTTCCAAAACGTTCCTCACTGCACAGTTCCACTTCGGTCTATCAAGTGGCTATTTTAGTAGGTTTGAACTTCAGTTCTCAAGTTCTTCTCTCCATCTCACCCCAGTGTCTCCCTCCACTAGGACTCCTTTCCTTCCCCACAAGGCATCTCTATGTGATGTGCCAGGTAGGTGCAGTAGCACTTCAAGCATGAGTGCAGACTCTTTTTGCATTGGTTACTTTTGAGGTCGGGTCTTGCTTTATGCTTGGACTGTGATCCTCTTAATTGTGCTTCCCTATGTCGCTGGAGATGACAGGTGTGTGTCACTGTGCCCCGGGAAGGCTGGCCTTGAACCGGGATCGTTTGGATCCTCAGATCTCTGCCTCTTTAAGTAGCTAAGATTACAAATATGAGCTCTTTCCTAAGAAGGCTTGTTCGTCTTAGTTGTCCCGCTGTTATTGCTTCAAATCCAACTCTAGAAACACCTTTGTCAGTTTCTCTCAAAGACCATGCGGGTCCCTGCTGTTACCCTCCCCACCTAGCCGCCATGGTCCCTGGAGCCTCTGTCACAACTTATTTTTCAAAAAGCAGCAGCCTGTTATCTCAGTTAGGGGAACAACAGTAACGCACATCTTATAGTTTGGGACACGGAAGTCCTCAGCCGTGGAAGGATTCGCTTAAGGTCAGAGAATGCGTGTTTGTGTACGGTTCTCCATTTTCAGCACCAATACCAGTGGCCACCCCGGCCCCTCCTAGCAGACGTCAGAACGCTAGGGCCTCCCTCCCGTTGTCTGTGGAAGCCACCAACCTGCCAACCTCATGTCCAGTTCCCCCGCTGGTTGGGACCGCCGGCAGGTGCACTGTTTGGGGACCGTGAGCTGTGTAGGGGGTATAAAGCAGAAGAGCAGGTCTGGGTGCGTGCCGGGACAAGTCTGTGCTGAGCCCCGGTGGGAGGCAAGCGCGATCGGTGTTACGACTTGGTCCTCCAAACATCCGGCCGGGCTAGGCTCCTCGGGAACGCCAGGGCAGTACCTGCCTGACCAGGAGGGGCCTTGGGAACGAATCGGATCACGGTCGGGCTCACAGTCACCTCCGTGACCGCGTTGTCCAAGTGGTTCTCCCGGACTTCTGCCACTCCAGTGGGTGGTCCAGGAGACCAGGCTCACCAAGGCGGTAGGGAGACGTGGGCTCCGTAAGGAGGCGGGCCTGTCGGGCTGCCGGTCTCGTTCAGTCGGACGGAGCGAGTTAACACAGTTGCGTAGAAGCAGCCTGGCAGGCCCGACAATGGCGGCCTTGGGGGGGGCCCACAATCTACCGGCCCCGCCCCGCCTTCGGCCTTGCGCCTAGGCTGGCAGGCGCCACGCAGGCTCCACCTCTAGACCCGCCCCACCGTCTGCTCCAGCCAATCGGTGGGTGGAGTCTTACCAGGCCCCGCCTCCGCTGCTCGCTCCTACTCTGCCATCAGGCCAGTGAACCCCTTGAACAAGCTCAGCTTTTGCCAAAGTCGGGGAAGCCGTGGAAGGGCTTGGGTACGTAGGTGGAAGTGAGTCTAAAGTTGGTATTTGCGCCGTTTAGGAACAAGGAAGCGCCACAACCACACGTGGGAAAAACAGCAGAGCCTGACAGAGCTAAGGCAACCGGGGCGTGCCTCTGGCTGCCTCTGCTTCCCGTCTGTCCTGTTCATAATCGTTCATAATCAAGTGTCTTCTTGTTTTTTGAAGCACTCAGTAAGATGAGGTGCTATGCACACCCAGCCCTGGTTCTACCGGAGTCACTTTTCCCCGGCATGATGGAGTAATCTGTCTGAGCAGCCTTCTACTGGACGCAGAGATTTTAATTAATTAATTTTTTTGGTCCGGTCATGGGGCCTGAACTCTGGGCCTGGGCGCTGTCCCTCAGCTCTTCAGCTCAAGGCTAGC